TTTATTAATCCTGACTGTTTTTCATATGTACGTATGTGTACTAATTACTTACCTTACTCATTATGTATCTGTAAATTACTTTTGTTCGACTATTAATATCGATTCACGTTTGGTTAAATTGCATTGGCATACGGTCCTTCACCAATGTGCATCGTTTCCTTTCGTTTTGCTCTCTCCTATTCCTTTTGTTTGCTACGTATCCGTGACTGCCTGGTCCGATCAACGATTGTACGAAATATACATATTCAAGTCGATAATTGTATATGAGGGTCGACAATATGTATATTTCAATAACAATAATTCATAAGATTCAAATGAAGTTAGATTTAGAGTCACTAAAACAGGAAACCATAGGTTTTTAATGTTTCGATCATATAGGTCGACAGTTTTTCACCTGAATAGCTCAGTAATTATGTCGCAAACAATGGAGATGGACGACGCAGTTCCGAACCCCACCTATAGCAGCAGCTTCTTCAAGATTGCAAGTTCTTCTAGTTGACAAAAGACAACTACTACGAAACCAATATTTAAGGTTTCCTCTTGAATACCTCTACTATGCTAGAATAAATATGCAGCGAAAGCAAACTTTCGGAACTGTCCTATAGGAAGTTACTGTTAACAATTTTTTGGTATGATAATTAAATACCCATTTTTTGTATTCATTAACTTATGAACTTTGATTTGACGCATAAACTAATGTTGTGTGATATACCTTTCCCAAGTTACTGACAATTTATTACGGACCTATCATTCAGTTATCTTCCACATATGGTTTATTTTCTTAATTGTGTTCATATGCTGCTGGGATTTTGCTCTATATTATTAAACGATTGATTTATAGATTTGTATATTTTATTCAATTGTCTGATTGCTGAGTTTGTTCTCTATTTTACATATCCGAAGAGTGAGAGTTGGAAACTGCATCCTGGACCAACAGTCATATAGTATTACTCTGGGCTATTTTCTTACATTTATCGTGTCAATGATTAGCTGAAGGTCATTGATACTAGAAAGACAATTTAGATGTGCCAATCAATATTTCAATTAGACCAAAACTATCTCTTTCTATTGTCTTGGGGTCCAGTCTCTCGGCGGAAATAAACAAACAAAAAATCTATTTTTTTCACCGATACATCAGCCTTCAACCACCTAGCAGTGAGAGATTCCGGAACGAATCATTAAATAATTCTCAATTTATATGTCAAAACAACGAAACGGTTAGACGTTCTCAAAAATAAAATAATAAACTACTGAAATGTATAAGTGATTGTTATAACTTGTGACCGCCGATTAGGGAGCACTGACTTATCGATCGGATCAATGACGCATAAAACACGTGTGAGCTGCCTAGAGCCCTGATTAGTCCTGCTTCCTGCGTAGCCCAGCCAATTAAGTCCAGAACATCAATCTCAGCCTCTGCAATATGAATAGTTTAGTTAATTGACAATTATACGATAAAAATATACGCACAGTATTGGTTCATCAATAGATCCCAAAAGTTACCATTCATTGTTCTTATCGGGACATAACAGTGCTCATGTCATAAATGAATATCATTTCATGAATAATAGTGGAAACCAACAGAAAAACTTGTGTCTATAACTCTACTGTTGTATGGTTGACAATTATTGCACTACCGTTGTGATTTCATATTACAATCAATCTCCAAAGTTATAACCACAAGTGATTCTGTTAGTTTCCAATACTACTCATGAAATGAAACAATTATTTAATCAGTCAACAGTTGAACAGATATAAAACAGCTGATTTTCAATTATATGATGGCTTATGAACAACAAACCTAACAGTTAAATTCTTAAGTTTCGACCACAGACTAACCTTAATTGGACAACGACTGAAAAATAGACAGCACAATTCAACAATGACAGTTCACTACTTTGCGATGGTCGAAACCAAAATTTTAGGCTTTAGCGACGAGCCGACATTTAACGTCAGTCCCTGACGTAGTTAATAGGATTTTACAATCTCGACAGACGACTTATGTTAATCATAAGTGGATCTACATCATATCACACAAACAAGTGTATATAGTTTGGCAATCGATAAACCATGATGAAACATTTCGAATTTCGATTGCTAAGAAATTAAAAAAATTTGACCAGTTAGCACAAATCCTTCTCAGTCTAAATTGATTGTTTAAAACCAAGCCACTGAAAACAATGAACATTAATTTAGGCCACAGTCATCACAAAAATCAATAAAACATTTAAACTTTTTGATAAAGTTTTGTTCTCTGATCTGGATGGTTTAGTCGTGGAGGTCTCATCGTTCTGAACAACATCATCATCACAAACGTCAGATAGAAGTGAAGTAATCGAATATCTCCACATGTGGTTCATAACTTCACTTCACTTCCCTACCTGAAGTTTGTACTATTGATGTCATTCAGTAAAACGATGAAAGCTTCACAGCCAAACTATTCAACTCAAAGAACAAAACTCTATCAAAATCATTCACCTAAGCTATAAATCTTCTCAATCAACTTTTGCACATTATATATTTAAAAGTAATATATTTGAAAGTATTGATTACTACTAATCATGTTGATGATGTAATAAACTGTAAATTGTTGAATAATAACTATAATTATGGTTCTGTCTTTTTTTGTTTTCTGTGGGGTACAAAGGTTACTGTTTATGATATTTCATAGTGCTTTTTCATATAATCAGACAAAGAAATCAGATTCTATAAACATTATAAAACAAGGAAGGGGGGACGGTAGACATATGCATATTTATATACATCTATACATTAATTTTAAGGTAAAACGGATCGTTGATGAATAGTTGAACATGTATGCCAATAAGAGACTAATCACTGGCAGTCCTTAACATCAATGAAAAGATTTAAATAAACAAACAAATGCCCTGGTACGGCCGAGAGTGGGGAGAGTCCGCTCTCCCTCTCGAATCGCTCTCACACGGCCACGCGTATACAACCTCTGCCAGGGAAGTCCTACTCATTGTCTTCTCACACCATGGGTGTTGTTTACGAAAATGAGAGGACGAAAAGCGAATGTCCGGTGCCTTAACTGGATCACAAACCAATGGTGCACATGGGCTCCAGTATCCTGCGGGAACAAATGGCGTATGAACTGATCGTTGGTCACCGGCTACCATGTGACTGCATCTCCTTACGATGCTCCACTGCCTTGTGGGTTAGACCTTTAGGTCAAAGGCTCGGGGTGTGGCCCCCTAAAATAACCACCTACTTCGGTCTCGGCACCCGGGCAGTATCGCAGCCCACGCGCAAATGATGAACTCTCTAGATCTATATAAAAAATGAAGGTAAATTCTCTATTGATTTTAATTCATATATATTAATTGTTTGGATCTTTGCATTAATATTCAAGACTGCAATTGATCAGTCTCTTTTCCTGGAGATTAGATGATATCTGTTTTTATCAATTATGATGAGGAAGAGGTAGCCTATGAATATTGATGAATGTAGTTGATATGCAGTACATTTCGACTTTAATCAAAAAACCATTTTAATACTAATAAGGATTAAACAGTTATTTAAGCTGACTATGAACTTTTCACTTTTGAATGTTTTCTGACAATCACGTTATTATCAGATTGGGGGGTTTTGTGGGTATTATTGTAATTTCAATAGTTGAGATCATGAATCAATTAAAGCTAGGCTACCATAGAAAAACTAGAAGCACTAGATGGCCGTTTCGTCCTACTATGAGACTCCTCAGCAATGCGCATGCACGATCCCGTCTCGCGAGATTCGAACCTACGACATATATGTCTCGCACGCGAACGCCTAACCTCTAGACCATCAGGCTGGCATCCAATGGTGTTAATGTCTAACTTTAACTAATTCACCAAAATTCAGAAACACATCCATCATTGTTATCAGTGTGTTACTATCTCACAACCGGTCCCGTTGAACTCCACTGGTCACTGCTTCTCAATAGAATTCCAGAAAATACCTTTTGGAAACCATCACTACTGAGCATTTCTTGTTTATTATCTGAAGTGTTTTGTGTATATTATGGTAATTGTTGCTAGACCACCATGGAAAACATGAAATCATTGAATCACTATTTCGTCATAGTATGGGTTTCTTCAACAATGCTCACTCATGATCTTTCACAGGTTTAATTATGTCTCTAGTTTTATCATTATCATCATCATCATTATCACCATCATCATTTTTATCATTCTTATTCTCATTTAATAATCAAGTGTTTTGTACCCCTCCCCCCCCCCCAAAAAAAATATTCATTAATTTTTGTTTCTTTTCTTTTTCTATATAATTGAACAATACAATAATAATAACTCAACTTTCATCATTCATTATTTTAGGTCAAGTTTGATTGAATAAAAGAAAAGTTCATATGTATACATATTCATATTAATCTATGTCTATCTATTCTATCTATATTAACTAGATTATTTCGTAATGGTTCATTTTATTTTTAATGAGACCCAATATTATCAAATTAAGATATTTTTATCTATAAGAAAAGAAAAAGAAACAAAAAAGAAGAAAAAAGAAAGAAAAAAGAATAAAAAAGTAAAAAAAATAAAGGTTTTCAACTCATTAAAATTTAACTTCTTTCTTTTTTTTTCTTTCTCATCATCATTTGAAACACACATCATCATTTATTGAACATTCAAAACCTCATTGAAAATAACAAAAAAAAATGTTCTCTTTTCTCTTTTTTTCATTATTATTATTTTTTTCTTTTTTTTGTATTGAAAAAACACGAACAAAATTTTAACCAACTTGAACTGTTAACAATTTTGTTTGTTGATTTCTTGGTGTACGCCCATGATGTATCCATATGGAATCAATAATTGATCAACATTTTTTTCTGATTTGGTTTGCTAAACATTTAAACATACACACGCACACACACACGCACCAAAAAAAGGGGGGAAAATAATTTGGATATTCAAGTTTGTGAGAAAAAACAAAGAATGAAAATAAAAGATAAACATTTTTTTGTTTCATTGAATTAAATTTTATAATAGGTGCAATATAATTAGGAAGTTTTTGTTATGATTATGAACATCATCATCATCATCATCATGAACATTAGTAGTAGTGGTAGTAGTAGTAGTAGTGGTAGTAGTAGTAGTGGTAGTAGTAGTAGTAGTAGTAGTAGTAGTAATAGTAGTAGTAGTAGTAGTAGTAGTAGTAGTAGTAGTAGTAGTAGTAATGGTAGTAGTAGTAGTAGTAGTGGTAGTAGTAGTAGTAGTAATAAAAGTAGTAGTAGTAGTACATGTATCAGGTACAAGTGAATTACCATAGTTGAGATCATCTGTCAAATGAAGCTTCACCATCATGAAAAACCCTGTAAGCATTGGATGGTTGTTTTGTGAATTCTTTGAAATATGTTTGTATACAAATGATTGTCTAATCTTATAGTTCTTTATAATGTGTTTAAATGATTGATAAATTAGAATAACTTTGATATTTCTTTTTGACTGAGATCAAGAATCGTTCAATAATAGACTAACAATAAAAACCTGGAAATACTGTATCTCCACTCTATCATAGTATGGGACTATTTAGTTTAGTGAGCATTCATAATCTCGCACGCAGGACTCGAACTTGGGACCAAATGAATACGAAAAAGTATTATGCTGAATTTAAACGTCGTCTCACGTCTTATCCTATTCTTGAAGTTGAATTCATAAGTTAATCTAAGCTAGATTGCCATTGACAAATTGGAAGCAACGAATTACTGTTTCGTCCTAGTATGAGACTATTTAATTCCGTAAGCATCCACTATTTCACACAAACGACTCAAATCCAGGAACTTCAATCTCGCACGCGAACACTTAACCTCTACACCACTTAGGCGGAATCCAACGGTGTCAATGTGTAACTTTAATCGATCCACGATCTTGCGTAACCCTTCGTCTGTTGTATGAGGTAGACAACTATCTCACATGGATTGAACCCCAGTGATCACTACATTTCAATTATACCTGTATTTAAAATGTCCTAGCTATGTATCTATTTAGACTTATTAAGTTGTGATCGTTTGTGGCTTTTTATCTTCAAGAAATTGAGTTTTTAATCTAAAATAGTGAAGATCATTTCAGACACACAACAGTTTCACTGATTTTATAATTCAAAAATAAACGTAATATGAATACCTGTGTGTGTTTTGTGTATTGCATAACTAATGTAATAATGAAATCGATGAGAATGTTATTGGTTGGATGAAGAAGAAGAAGAAGATGAATACAACAATAATATGTAAAGATCTTGACTGAACTTCATTGGAATATAAATAACGTGGAAGTTTAGGTTAAACCATGTAATGAATCGCTTACAAGAGTCATACACACTCATCTCAGTCCGAGGGAACACATCCATGTAGTGATCTAATTATTCTTAAAATTTACGGATTATTTAACCACATTAAATTACCAATAATAATGAAGGTAGATTGTTTCCAAGAAAAAATAATCGTCTCTTTTTAGATCCTGAATGATTTCACACCTGAATATGTTCATAGGACGAAATGTGTGTCCTGAATTCCACTGCTAGCCACTATCCATCATTGCTTACAAAAAGCTTGTGAATTAAGGCAATATCGATGCATACTCACAGTATGCACATATGCCAATAACAGACTGATCAATTGCAGACTTAAACCTCAATGGGAAGATACAAGCCAAACAATACCAAGTGAATTAGAATATGTTCATGTTTGCGAAACCTAAATAACATTACAATTATGATAGAGAAGAAAAGAATAACTTATGGAGTGATATCTTACATGTGTGTGTATACGTGTGTGTAAACATATATTGATCATTATGAGTGTGAATTAACAAAGTAGGGATGATCATCTAGTTGAATGTACAAGAAGAGCCTTTCTCAGTCAGAATATAACTTGGGTCTTTCAATTTACTTGCTCATATGAAGCAAATTATTTTAGCCATAAAAAGTGAGAACTTACAAAACTCATCACGAAGCATTACTCTATCAGACTTTCTAAAGGATAACAGAAGTCAATCAAAAAGTAAATCTTGTAGTATCTAATCAATTCTAGTTACTCCACTTCACCAGAAGCCTCTTACAAAAATCATACATACAGTTAGAACAGTCGACTCAAGTGTAATGAAATTGAAAAACTTATTTATTGTTATCCATCAGTTCTCAATCATAACTTTAGCATACAAAAATAGTATATTCAGTCTCTTATTCTTTGATGGTCTTAACCTTCCTTTCTAGATTCCATAGTCTATCTTTTTAAATTTCTTCTTCCTCAATTGGACATCATTACAAGTTTTCCTTATTTTAAATTCACTTGGTATTGTTTTGCTTGAATCTTCCCATTGAGGTTTAAGACTGCAATTGATCAGTTTGTTATTGGCATATACGCATACTGTGCATAATGCCTCGATATTGCCTTAATTCACAAGCTTGATAAGCAAAGATGAATAGTGACTAGCAGTGGATAATGCAATGGAGTTTGAAGCGAATAGTACTTGGTTCGAGTTCCAGAGTGAAAATCAACTCTGAGATGCAAGTAGATCCAGCTGACAAGTCCCAAATAGGATGAAACACGCGCTCTGCATTCTACTGTTAGTCACCATTCATCTTTCCTTTCGGTTATTTTTTTACCAGTTATCAACTGGAAAATTATCCTCACTTCTCTTCACCTCTCTCCAATTGAAATATATATATATATTTTTTAAATTGATGCTTTGTATGTTAACTAATTAGTATAATCATAGGGGAACTCCACCTGGAGCCTCTCAGGGGTTACTGCCAGTCCCAAACCCGGGTGAAGGAGTAGGGTCAGGCAAGGGGTTAGCGACCCCATCCTGTAGAAAGCTAACATGCTGAAAAAACGCTAACCCGAAAAAATAACCAGAAGGGGGTTTTGTGGAAATTTTAGTAGTTTAATAGTTGAATTCATGAGTTAATTAAAACTAGACTGGCCGTCCAGTGCTTACAGGTTTTCCATGGTAGTTGAGCTTTATATGACTGATGAATTCAACTACTGAGTAATATAATACTGTTAGGAAACTGTTAAATTATCTAAGTTTTCTCTTTCACCAAGTTCTCTATAGATTTATTTGAATTCAGATCATTCTACTGAAGATTTCTTCGAGATGGTGGGGGAGATTAAAGCTCAGGTGGATAATTTTGATGGAATTTTTGTTCTCTGATTTGGATGGTTTGGTCGTGAAGCTTTCATCGTTCTTCTGAACGACATCATTATCACAAACTTCAGGTAGTTGTGAAGTAAACAATGACAGGTTCAAGGTCAATAAGAACCAATCAACATCAAGGTGTACAGGACAAGCTCTGAACCACATGTGGAGAAATTTGAACACTTCAATTCTAACTATAGTTTGTGTTGTTGGTGTCGTTCAGAAGAACGTTGGAAGCTCCACGACCGAACTATCTCGCTCAGAGAACCAAACTCCATCAAAAAAAGGATTTCTTTATATTGAATAGTTGTCCATGATTTTTTATATACTCTTGAGGTTATAGCTTGTTTTTACAAAACAAATTGTTGTATTACAATCTCGAATTCTTCTTAGGATAAGAAATACTTCTAATCAATAATTGATTTCTTTTGTCTTTTAGTGACACATTGAAAGATATTACTATTGAGCTAATACTGTTACATAATACAATATATTAGTAAACATGAATTTACAAGAAAAGATAGGAGATTGTTATTTCCCGATAAGTATAGTGAACAGTAACTGTTGGGATTCATTGATGGACCAATACTATACGTATATTTTTATCGTATGATTATTAAGCAAGTAAACTAGGCATATTCGTGTTCCTCGTATTATAAGCTTTATTTTGACCTATGAACGATTATTATATAATTTACCATTCTTGAGTAATGTCCAATCTATCAATTAATATCTTCCACATTCACAGCCACATTTGGCTAAATCTTGTACGAATGTTGACTCCTACTCTATGGTACGATGTGGTCTGTTTGATTGGTATATAAACCTAGTATGTTTTAATTAATGATTCATATCACAGAGGCTGAGATTTGTGTTCTGGACTCTAACAGGCAGGGCTAGGCGGTAATCATGATCGATAAGGACTCTAGATTGCTCATACTTGTTTTATGCGTCATTAATCCGGTCGATCATTCACTGTTCTCTAATTGGCGGTATCGTTACGTTAAACAATAAACAGGGTACACAGAGATAATGTTCCATTCTTAATCGGTATATGACAAATTATTTTTCTCTAATATACTATTGACTTTGAGATGGTGGAGAAGATTTGTAGCTCAGGTGGATGATTTTGATGGAGTTTTGTTCTCTGAGCTGGATGGTTTGGTCATGAAGCTTTCATTGTTCTTCGGAACGATCGTTCAGCTCCACGATCAAACCATCCAGCTTAGAGAACAAAACTCCATCAAAATATTATTGACTATTTCCGAAATGTAACTGTAATTATATACTATCAGCAATGTATTATGTTATGTAATCAGATATAAATAAGTTTATTACATAGAAATTGTAAACTATTGGTAATTTCCCAAGTGAATAAAATGATCCATAGTCAAACACTTTTTTAAAAATTTAGTTTACAACATAATAATAGTAGTATGAAAAGAAAATGAATGGTATTAGATAATCATATTCAAAAGGAGATAATATCAGACATTGGTTGAATGTTATTATGATCATGAATCGATAGAAGTAAGACAATCGACTCATGAATTCAACCAGTAACAATCAGTGTAATATCAACAAAACCCCTCTCTGATTATAAACATAATGTGGTCATTAATGATGATCTCTGAGAGATATTTCCTGGAGTCCTAGTGAGAAGTAGTGATTAGTGAAGTACAACCGTGTCTGTTGTGAGGTAGTAACTCATTGATAACAGTGGTGGACGGTGGCGCACTTTCGTGGATTGCTTGAAATTAGACATTACCACGGTCGGATGCCGGTTCAGTGGTGTAGATTTTAGGCGTTCGAACGCAAGACCAATAGGTCTTGAATTCAAATCTCACGAGGTGAGATCGTGGATGTGAACTGCTGAGGGATCCCACAATGGGACGAAATGACCATTCAGTGCTTCCAGGTTTTCCATAGTTGTCTAGCTTAATTGACTCATGTATTTAAGTATAAACTTGGTATAATATCCACAAAGTTCCTCTCTGATTATAAGCATAGAAGATCTTGAAGTAGTGGATTGCTATTTCATCCTAATGTAAAACTTCTTAGCCGTTGATATATTGGATGATCTGATTGAATGAAAGAAGAAAACAAAAACGACTTGAAAACATTTGATTAAATTATACAACAATATTCGATTATCTCTATAT